CCCTGGTTCTGCCAAAAAAAAAAAAAAAAAAAAAAAATCTTTTTCTAAAATTTGATTGCTTATCTACATGTTGGGGGGTTAATATATGATGCAAATGTTTTCATAAATTATAAGAAATAATTTCAGGCATGAGCCTCTTCTTTCCAAGAAAACAAGAAGACTCTTCTGGCTACTTCGCATCTGTACTGAGGCAACTCAGAAAAGTTTTTAGGGCTTCTTTTGTGTCCTTCCACCCAGCTGGACTGAGCACAAGCCTGTCTGTGGTGATCCCTACCCAGCTCTACACCTGATGATGCTACACCTTTGATTAGTACCTCAGTGGCAGACAAAATCATGACTTTTAAAAACTTGACCAATATTGCAATATTAAGTCCTTGGTTCTCAAAGAGAACCCTAAATGCTACTGCACTCCCCAGAGGACCCCAGAGATGGCGTACCTTAATTCTGCTCTGTACTCCCCATTGGGTCTCACTCTAGGGAGCATGGAAGGAACATGCTCCAGCTTCCCAGAAAAAGCATCAGCTCCCCTGACAGAAGGGCTGGAGCTCCGTCCAGTGCCGCTGCCTGTCCCATTATCACCACACTGTAGAATCTGGGCAGTGCTGAACTCGAGTGGAGTCCAACCCACCTGGTTCGAAAACATCGAAGCCCTCAAATCAGTTCAAGTTTACTCAAATAAAGATCTCTTCTTGCTAAATGAATGCCAAACTGCTGGCAAGGTCCCATGGAAAGTCTCCACATAAAGGCATCTGGGAAGGGATGGGGAGCTAGCTCAGCGGCATAAGCATTTGCCTGTCCCGAGTTCGATCCTGAGTACTGAAGCAAAAAAAAAAAAAAAAAAAAAACGATCTCTAGGAAAGTGCTCACTGCCTCTTTGTGCCTCCCGCGAGACAGTAGTGCCCACGTCGGACGATAGGGCACATGGACCTCAGGTGGGGCCGCTGCAAGCTGGGCCCGTTGCACAGGAGCCCTGGGCTGTGGGCTCTGACCACATCCATTGCAGGAAATGGTAATAGCCCGCGAGTGACACTGCGGGCTAACCGCAATCCACAATTCTGATTTCTTTTTTCACAATAACAAGTTGAGTGGGATCGCGAACTTTACAGACAGTAGATGCAGCCCACTGAAAACTCGAACCCTAGCTCTGCTCTGGCTACAGTGACTATACAGGAACCTCTCCATCTCCATCCCTGGGGTCCCTTCTAGCTGCAGGAGCTGAGCCACAAGCGCAGTTGGATCCCGCCCCCAAACCGGTCGCCATCTCTGGCTCCTGTGCGTGCGCAGCCTGCTGCTCTAGCATTTCCAGGTGCTCACCTTGATTCCTGGTTCTCTGCGTGGACAGTCACGAGGGTCCCTGCTGCCCCTGGCCCGGGATCCCCTTGGCCTTCTTGCAGGTGTACAGCCACTTAATGATGCGCGCGTTCCTCTCGACAATCGAGGTGGTGCTGGGAACTTGCTCTGTGAGCGCCTCCTCCTGCAGTCCGTCGTCTTCCCCTCCGCTGTGATGCGAGAAGCCGCCTTCCGAGGTAGCCACGCTCACACTGCGCACCTTGAGGACGGCGCAGTCCGAGCCCGCGGAGAAGTTGTCCCTGCCCAGAGCCTCCACCACTTCGGGGTCCAGGCCGCAGAACTGGAAGAAGGCGTCGCGCTCGGCTCCGGGGTCGCAGCTGCGTCTGCTGAGGTCCGAGTGTGAGCGCTGCAGTCCCGGGCGACGCGCCACCCGGGGCGATGAGGTCCGGGCTCGGTTCTCCGGGGTCGCAATGCTCCCTAGGATCACAGGGACCGCTGGGCTCCCGAGGGGCATAGGCTGGGCCGAGGCTGCAGGGACCCCTGAGGTCCTGGAGTTCCCGGGGATCGCGGGGTTCGAGGTGGTCCCAGAGCGCCTAGGGACCTCGGGGGTCACGGAGTCGGGCTTGGTCCGCTCCGCCCGCACCAGCCGCGGCGTCGCGGGGGGCTCGGAGGTTCTGTCCCTGCCCGGTCCAGGGAAGAGCTTCTTCACCAGGCTGCCCCTGGAGCCCTCGGAGCCTGGGCTACGTACGAAGTCGCACTTCTGTCTGTAGATGACCAGAGAGTCGGGCCTCAGCGGCCGGCGCGGAATAACTCTGCGAGACACCGGAGTGGGGACCTGGAGTGCGCTGGGTTGCTGCACCCCGCCGGGTGCGTCCAGGCTGCGGGGCTCCGAAACAGGGTTCCTATTGTCCCCTAAACTGCAGTTCTTGGAAGTGGGGTCCCCACCGCCCCCCGGGCCGCGAGAGAACCGGGCGCGGTCGGCAGCCAGCCGCTCCACCGCGCTCGGCCGCGTAGGGTCCCGGGGCGCGTTCAGAGCCGGTAGGGCGCGCATTACCCGGCTCGATGGCGTCGCTGTCGAGTCTCCGGTGCCGAAGTCCACGAAGGTGTAGAGCAGCACCTAGGGCCGGATCCGAAGTTGAGGCGAGCCGGATCCTGGCGGGCTGGTGACTCACCCCGGTGTCCCCGCCCTCGACTCCGCCTGATGCTCCCGGCCCCTCCTCTCTCTCCTCCTTCCCGGTATCGCCCCCCCCCCCCCACTCAGGGTCCGTGCCCTCCTTGTATGCCGCTCCTCCCTTCAACTCTGGCCTTGTGCACCTGCTTGGTGTCCCCGCTCCGTGCCCGCCCTCATCTCCAGCTGCCCCCTGGAAGGTCTGGCCGTCTCCCCGCAGATATGGGGGCACCTCGCCCGCCAAGGCCAGGTGTCTGGCGCTAGCTTCCTGGGCCCGAGCTCTGCGGTCACTTTATGACAGTAGCATTTCTAAAAGAACGGAGGGAAGGGCTCCTCCTCCGGCAGGTGTCTCCTGTCTTTTTATTTCTTAACGTGATCCCAGGATGTTTGGAAATTTTTACTTTAATTTCCTCAGTCTGTACCTGAGCTCAAATTACCAGAAAGGAAAAGGATATGAAAACCTGTCCCAGGGCAGTTTACTGGAACCGAGCCGATGGGGAAACCGCGATTCCCGGGTTAGATCAGCCTAGAAATGCTAAAAGTGCAAGCAAGTATTTCAAAATTCCGTTCTTTCCAAAAGTTGGGCAAAAGACTGAGACAAAACATAATCTGGCAGAACAGTAATACACATGTTATCTCCTCAAAGGCGCGCTAACCTCTGCAGGGCTGGGTCTGACCTTTGCCGGATGCCCTGTGGGCAGTGCCTGGCCAAGAGGATGAGGGGTCCAGCACATGGCCCACTTTCTGCCAGCTAGGGAATTTTTTTTTTTTTTTCATTTCCCCAGCCTTGTGCAGCTTCTTGGGAAGCAGCAGCCACTTGGAGAGACCCTCCTGACCAGGCTCTGGAGCTGGTCCAGCCTGAACACCTATCCATGTTCCTTGGGCAGTGGCTCAGTTCTCAGGGTCTTGGTTTTATCATCTGCAGAAACCTTGCTAAGTGCCCTCGTCGCCTCGCAGTGCATGCTCAGTAAGTGTGGCCTGGAAGACCCAAAATACACACGACCTGCATGTAGAATCCCAGAAAGTATTTTGAAGCACCAAAGGACCTAAATAAGCAGAGACACTATATAGTCAAGATATTATAAAGCTATGAATTGCCCATGAAATTAAAAAAGAAGAGATAGAGAAATGGAATCCAAATGAAGAAAAGAATCCAGTTTGGTCTGGGTATTTTTGGTTTGTTTTTCCCTAAAGCTTAACAAGCAATTTTTTAAAAAGTCATTTGTGAGCCAGAGATGTAGCTCAGGGGCAAGCAGGAGGCCCTGAGTCTGCTTCCTAGTCCCCCTCCCCCCAAAAAATAGTTTGCTTTATAGGAGCATGGCCATATGTACAGTGCCATCAGCCATGAGGGACCACTGAGCATTTGTTGTGTTTTGTCTAAATTAAAATGTAATGTGTCACACTTCATCTTGAAGGAATTTTGTATACAGTGGATTAAATAAAATGCATCATTAAAATTTTTAAGTGTTAAAAGTCCAAAAGTAGTTTAGAAAAAATTGAAAAAAAAATAAAACACAAGGGAAAGATTGTCATTATTAGATATCCAAGACTTATTGTAGAATTATAGTAATAAATACAGTGCAACAGCACCTTAGAGCAGTCTTTCATAGTTAAAGTTTACCAAGTTTCAAGTCTTGGGACTCTTTGCTCTCTCTTTCTCCGCCATCTAAGCCCATGCATTTACATGTTGGAGTTGATGTTGGACAGGTCAAGGTTAGAAGACTCACTACAGCATGGCTGTTAGGCTGGAGGTATAAAAAGGCCTATGACTTCTGCTTGGGGATGCAGAGCTCCCCTGGCTGTCCTTTAGAAGCAAAGATGAGTAAAGATCAGAGACGGAGTCGTGCATAAAACCATACAGATGACCTCTTTGGGCTGCTGACCTAAGACCAGAGCAAGATCTTCAAACTGAGTGCCCTTAGCCTAGAATACAAACTATCAGCTTCTATTCCAGTGGACCGATTTGTCTGTCTTCCCAGTCAGAAGACCTTCCAGTGCTAGAGGCTGACTACATCGAGAATGCTTTGAGTGAGCATTTCTTTAAATCTTTCCAAATACTGTAATGCAAAGGATGATGCCTATTTGCAGGAAATGGTTTAATATCTACTCAGTAGGCAAGATCAGAAGTTGTTTGAACATCTCATTGCTATTAAGATTTAGTATTTCTCTTTATAAATGTAACACTACACACACAGTGTTCACGTACTCATAAAGTTACATGCAGGAACACAGGGCCTCCTGGTCTCAAAACCTGTGACTTGTTTAGCCCAAGTCCTTCCAAGAAGAAGCTGACATTGTGCAGGTGGCAATACAATTACTCTGCCAACTGCTCCCCTCCACCCACCCTGGTGAACAGCCCCATTCTTCCTCCCCTTTACCTCCTCTTTCTCTCCATCTGAAGACTGATGATGCCTAGATCCGACTAAACCAAAGTGAGCAGTTCACCTGGTACTGTCAGATATGTTGTATTTAGGGTTTTGAGCAGTGTGTTCTCAAACCACATTATTTAATTTGCTGAAATACCTCTGCTTTTCCACATTTGCATCTCCAATGACTAGCAGAGTTATCTGGCATGCAGCAGATAACAAACAGATTGGTTGATTGTTTTCAATGCCTACTTTCTTGGTCAGTCCCAGTATTGGCATCTCTGTTCTGCAGCTAATTCTTCAGACCTAAGGGCTTAAAATGCCATCACGCTGGCTTTCTTTTAGCAACTGGTTTTCTTGTTTCAGTTTTACTCCATAATCAGAATTTGTATTTTTTATAAGTATAACATGTGTAGATAATGAAAATTCACTAAATGTATTGCAAACACTAAATTAAAACTCTAACTTTCAAAATTACTAAATCCTGATCCTTGATGAACAAATTCTTTGTTTTCCTTTAAGGAACATGACCAATTTGGGGGAATAACCCTCTTACTATTTTTTTTTTTTTTTTTTTTTTTTTTTGCCGGAACCGGGGATTGAACTCAGGTCCTTGCACTTGCCAGGAAAGTGCTTATTCCACTGAGCTATCTCCCCGGCCCAACCCTCTTGCTTAACCACTTTGTTCTCTTCTAGTTAGGATAGTGCAGAGCTGTGATAATAGTTTGCTAATGAAAAAAAAAGTTTGCTAATGAAGAATGAATTCATGATTTGTTATAGTAAATTACATAAACATTTAAATGTTCTTCTTGAAGTTTGTAAACAGACACAAATTATTTTCTCTCTCAAATGTCACTCTCATTTTCAATAGTCATTGGGCAAAGGTACTTTTTACTCTCTCTAGTGTATTAGGACAGGCTGAGTATACAACACCGAAGTCTAGATCCAGCCACCTCTAAAACACCCCACCTTTGACCATTGAGGGACATCTAGACACCAGACAAACTATCCTTTTTCCTTTTTTTAAAGTAGGATCTGGACAGCCTTTCACTGGAGTGAAAGAGGCAGTGAACAGAAGGAAGGATTTTTTTTTTGAACCCAGTCAGTGCTTATAATTAGGGGATCTTCTATCCATGTGTACCTGGGATGGTGTCTCTTTATGTCTGTTGTACCAGTGTAATTGTTTGTGCTGTCCTTTTGCTCTCAAAAGTATCTTGGTTTGAATGGTGACCTGTATGTTCTCAGTAGAGCAAATGTCTTTGATGACAAATTCACAGAAAGACTTCCTTAGGATGAAACAGAAACCCAAATGCTGCTCTCTGGTCAGAGGCTGACATGCTGATGCTTGTAGTTCTATGTGCCCCTCATCCCCTTGCCAGGCTTGTAGACATGCCAGTATTTTCCCCACAATGCACTCTGCCTTGAGTGGGTCTTAACCTGACCTGTGGAAAGGACTGGAGAAAGGGCTAGGCAGTACGTGAGCTCTGAAGGAGGAACAGCAAGGAGCAAGACATCAGCAGCAGGAGCAGGTGTCGACCCGTGGATAGCCCGGACAGCCGCAGTTCCCCTCATGAAGACAGTAAGAGTACATCTGTTATGCTAGGGACTTAAAACAACTTCAGCATGTTTGAGAACCTCAAAAAGAAGAGGGATCTAGTACTGCATTTCAGTGCCTGTATTTTGAAACTCCAGTTGGAGCTTATTGCCTACACTAATTTGTAACTTTCTCAGTTTACTCAGAATATCAGATCCTAGAGCCTTTAATCAGAATCATGGTTGTCATGGTGGCAATAACTGGAGGTGAAACACAGCCAGAGACTGGAAGCCTGTAGAGGTAATGCTTTAGTAGAAAATCCACTATGGCTAGATATTTCCAGCCACTCACTTCTGGCTAGTTTTTAATCACAGAGACAGAGTATGCTGGGTCCAGCTGACAATGGACAGTGTCCCTCCTTTCGGTCTTCAGCTCTGCTCAGAAGGAGTAAGGTAAAAGCCCTTATTGAGATCCACTAAGCAACCAGCACTGAGAGTGCTGTGGAGCTTGGTACACCCCGTGAAGCACACGCAAAGATATCAGTCCCATCACTCCCTCATTGTGCTCTGTTTTGTAACAGCCTACTCCAGCCCTGGGGCTCTTCCCCCAAGCCAAGAAGTTCTCCAGCAAGTGCCATGGGCCTTGCCCTGTAAGCTGCTGCTGCGAAGTTGCTTTGTCTCTCATGTTTTTGGTCCTAAATGTAGAGAGCTCCTGGGTTTGGTTAAGTCATTTTCTCATGACACAATCACCATATATAAAATATTTTTCCTAACTAATTCATCTGTTTGTGTTGTGCTGGGGGTGGAGCGCAGGGCCTCTTGTGTACTGAACAAGAGCTATACCCTGCCCTTCCCAGACCTTTCTCTGTTGGTCTCTGCATTCTGTATGGGAAGAGGAGATTGGACAGACAAAGGAGGTGTCTTAGCTACTTATCCCATTGCTGAGGAAAAACACCCAGTGCCAAAAGTTAAAGAAGAAAAGCTTAATTGTAGCTCACAGTCTGTAGAGCTTTCAGCTCATAGTTGGCTGGCTCCAAGGCAGGGTGTCATGGCAAAGGGGCATCACAGTTGAGAACCACAGTTTGTGGTAGGCAGAAGCCAGAAGCAACAGTCCGTCTCTCCCTTTCATCCTTCCAGGCTACCCACCCTTGGGTGGTACCCCCACATCCAGAGTGGGCCTTCCCATCATCCACACCCAGAATGATACCAAAAGCAATCAGTAGACTAATTCAGTAATCACACACCCTTAGTCCCAACACCAGGCACTTAATCTCAGCATCGTATACCCTAGATCTAGCTGTCTGTAAAGCTCTACGTATAACTGCATGAGGCTTTGGGGGAACTTCTAGACACAGCCTTAGGAGGCAAGGACAGTACCATCAGCAAAGCAGATCTACAGGAGGTCTTGGAGGAGTCTGGAGCTGAGAGGGAATCACAGGATTACAGGACTCCCAAAAGTGTTTAGCAAAGTGATACTGTGATTGGTACCTACATCAAGGAGAGGTAGAATATAACTTTGCCATAAGTTGAGGTCACAGCTACAGCTCTTTGGAGGACTTTAGTGTCTCTGTTGTAAGATACCTTTTTTAAAAAAATGTATTTAGTTGTTGCAGGGTCTCATCACGCAGCTTGGACTCATGGTGATCCTCTTGCTTTCAACCTCCCCAGCACTGGGATTATAGGTAGGCACCACTATGCTCAGACTCTGTAGCCTACTCAGCCCACTGTGGGAGAGGGGTTGGCATGGCATGTGGTGCCAGGGATCGAACCATTGTCCCTGTGTTTGCATAAGCTTGCCTAACCAAACACTTTAGTCCGCTGAGCTATCTCACCAGCCCTGTAGAACACATTTGCTTGTCAGAGGATGAATTTGAAATCTTCTTCTTCTTCTTCTTCTTCTTCTTGTTCTCCTTCTTCTCCTTCTTCTTCTTCTTCTTCTTCCTCCTCCTCCTCCTCTTCCTCCTCTTCCTCCTCCTCCTCTCCTTCCTCCTCCTCCTCTTCTTCTTCTTCTCCTCCTCCTCCTCCTTCTCCTCCTTTCCCTTCTTCTCCTCCTCCTCCTCCTCCTCCTCCTCCTCCTCCTCTTCATCTTCCTTCTCCTCATCCTTCCCTTCTTCTTCATGCATTTTAGGACCAGCCAAATAGCTCAGAGGATTAAAGCACCTGCTTAGGCAGACGCATGGCTGAGGTTCAATCCCTGGTGTGCTGTGCTGGCCCCACCCCCAGGGCAAGCTGAGAAGGTGATTAAGACTGGGCATGGAGGCACTTGCCTGTCATCCCAGTTCTTGGGAGGCTGATCACAGGTGGATCACTGAGTCCAATCTATGTAGTGAGACCCTGTAGACCCTGTACTAAAATGCAAAAATAAAATAAAATAATGCATTTTATTTTGAAGAACAAAGGACTTGCACACTAAGCAATGCATTTACCATTGTTTGCTACATGGGCTGTCAAGCATTTTGTGGAGCAGTGTACTTCAAGTGTGTGCTTTGGCCTGATAGACCTGGCCAAGGCCCTTCCTTCATGGGAACAAAAGGACCATTTGGCAAATGCTCCAGGGTCAGAAAAGCTGCACAGCCAAAAATGCTTACCAAATTCCTCTTGTGTGTCAGGGACTATTTCCCCACATGTTATCTCTTCACTCCTTACAACGGACGCGTCTTTATAACACATTAGTGCCTGGAAGATCCACATTCTTTTCCCCATCTGCTGTAATATTTCTTAATTCAAGCCTACTTCCTCTTACTGATTTTCACAAGTTTATGGAAAAATTAGACCATGTCTCCTTAAAAATACATGACACAAAATGAGAAAACTCCCCTTTGAATAATTTCCTGTTACGTTTTCTCTTGGTGTTTGCTCATTATTTTGAATCACTTCGGTCACCCTTCTTTGAACTCAACAGCTTCATTCTCTTACACTGACTCTAGGGTAATCCTGAAGTTCATCAGAAAGGCGGGAATGGAGGGGAGAGAGATTTTAGGGCCCAGAGAGGCTGCTGAGTCACCGCCTAGTGGGAGGAGAGGTCCCAGCCCCATTCACTTCCTGCCAGCCCTTCAGGGTATGGCAAGGAGTGTTACAGGTTAAAACTTATCTCACAGCCTCCTGCAGGGTGCTGAAACCAGACTCCTGGTCCTCACAGACTCCTCAGAGTGTCCCCGGAAGCTGGTCAGAATGAGAAGGCTGAAAGATCATTTCCCTAAAACAGACTCAGTGTGCTGGTCTTAAATTCAGTGCTTTGAATGGTGACATTTTAACCTGAGTGAAGAAAGAGCTGGTATCAAGCTTCAGTCAAGTGTATATAATTCTTCTTACAAAGTTTAAAAGCATTGTGTCATGTTAATCTTCAATAAACATGGTCTCATGTCAGCGGCTGGCAGTTCACACTGCCCGGACTTGTTATGGAAAGACGGGCCAGGCTCCAGGAAGCTAAAGACCCACATCCAGACCTAAATTGTTTTGTGCCTGGCTGTGTCATCAGCAAAGAGACAGTGGAGACAGTGGCTTGACGCATGCTCTCTGGCAGCCCACTGGTGAGAGTGGCTCTGCTGTCCTTGAGTGGCCCGCACCCCTGTCTGCGCCAGAGCAGGAAGTTTATACAGACACTTACTAAGAGCTGGCTATTAATTAAACAGGAAGCTAATTAATGAAGCGCCTATGCAAAGGTATGTTTTCAGAAAGAATTATAAAACTTAATTTATTTTGCAAGGTAAGAGGAAGTTTATTGATGTCTTAAAATTATGGAACAGTTCATGAATTTGCATGTCATCCTTGTGCCAAGGCCATGCAAATCTTCTCTGTACCTTCCCTGTGTCAGTCTATGTGCTGCCAGAGTGAGCACAGTTTATTGATTCTGAGGCACATTTTTCTTAAAAGCCTAGGTATGGGTAGATAAGGAGAAATCCTTCCCCATAGAGCAGCTTCTGATTATGAATTAATACAGGGCTTGAGGACAGGCCCAGAGGGCCTGGGCAAATGCTGGCTCTGTTATTTTTTGGTCCTCTGTTGTGACCTGGTCAGGTCAGCATCTTCTCCAGTGTACTGAGTAATTGCGCTGGAATAGAAAGGCAAATCAGGGCAACCTGACAGTGTTACAAGTCTCCACCTCTTTCTTCACAACTTTATTTTTCCCTCTGTCCCAAGGCTTGGGGTCCCTAGTGAGTGGTATGATGGAAAGCCTCTGTCCCCACAAGCTCCAGAGATGAAGCCAGGGTGCAGGATAGCTTGAGAGACACAGCTCACTGCTCTGTTCTCCAGGACGCTCTGGGAAGTTTGCCAGAGCTACCAACTTGCCATTCTTCTCTTATAGAAGGGCACTGACTTCGCCATTAAAACTTGCTCTTCTGAGCCCTGGGGACTCCGAGGAAGAGTAGAGTAGAGGGAAGGCAGCTGACCTGGAGCAAGTCAGGGCCTGAGGAAGTCCACATCCGCTCCTCTCTCACCACTCTGCAGGCCCAGGAACACGCCTGGGCGAACACAGTCAGGGGACACGAGAAGCACTGGGTGTGGACATGTGGCATAGCGCCAGCTGCACCAGCCAGGGCCACCACAGATGAGTCTACAGACAGCTAATCTTGTCTGGGGGAGTCTCAGAGTGCCATCCTAGATATAAACCCATTGGGTTTGAGGTAGTGTCTTTCACAACATTGCTGAGACAATAAATAGCTGCTGTGCGTGTTTAACAGCACAAAACAGAAAGAACCCTGAGCCAACCAGTGGAGAGTCAGCTGGAAATGAGTCGTCATACAGTGACTTTCTAGCAGGTCTCCTTGAGCTCGGCAGAATGTCAGATGCAGGTCTTGGGAGCCAGAGGCGGGCCAGCCACCAGCCACAGTACCCCTTGTCTGATCGCAGTCCTGACCTGCTGAGGTTGGGGTCTGTCCCAGCAGAACTGCTGCTGAGAACGGTTTGCCACTTGTCTTCTTCCTCGCCATCAGGCTGGGAAGAATGACAGCCCCGGAGAGGTTATGAGCTGGGAAGCTGGGACTTTTCCAAGCAAAAGGGACTTACAGAGGAGTGTTGCCAGGGACCACAGGGGCAGGGAGGTCATCCTGGATGGAGGAGGGGGCACAGCAGGGCAGGGACATGGGCTCCTGCCTCGTGCTCTTCTGTTGCAGTCTTCAGGTGTGGGCAGGGAGCTCAGCGAGGGCAGTCTCCTATATAAGATCTGTCCTGCTGCCTGTAGCTAGTGTCTGGCATGACTTTTCCTTGATGCTAAACAAATAAAAATTAAAGCATCCCTTACCCTCTCCTATAGGGCCATAGAACAATCCAAAATTGATGCCTACATTTTACACAAAACACCACTCGCCACATGTCTATTACTGTACATGTGCCACTAATGTGCCATGGGGTAGGATGGGGCAGATACATGGTATTCTGTCCCATGCCATGTATTCATGCATGGGGCATGGACAGGAGCACCCTCCTGGTAGACAGGGAACAGTGCTGTGAGCTTAGGCTAGGTGAGCCCCATGAGCAGGGGCAGCAGCCAGCTCCAGCATCCTGATGTGACACTGTATGACAAGGCTGCCATCCACGGCCACGAAGCCTCATCCAGAGGCAAAGAGCTACCTTCCTCCTGCAGGGCACACGGCAGGGGTGGGGTGGGGTGGAGAACAGGCTTTGGAATAGCACAAAGCAGAATTCAGCTCTGCCTTGTCCTCGTGAAAGGCATCCTGTGAGTTTCCACGTTTCCAGGGTCACCTAGGAAGAGCATGACTTCAGCAACCAATAGTCACAGAGAGTCCCAGGCCTGCGGAGCCTGTTCACACCTGAGGAAGAGTCTTTGCTCTCTGCACTGCCCTTGCACCAGGTCCAAGCCACAAAGAGATGGAGCAGCTCGCCGGAGGTGGGCAGTTATAAGTTCTGGGCTCAAATCACACTGCCCAGTGCCACGCCACACTGAAGTGGCCAGCCTGCTCCCCCGGGCCAGGGGCTGACAGTGGTTCTGTGTCCTAAGTGCCCACCAATTCCCTGGGAGCCTCCACTGTCCCAGCCCCAGAGCCAACTCCACCAATGTTCCCTCAGTGCTCCTAAAAGGCAGGCATTGAGCAGCAGCTGAGACCTGTACACGCTGTCAGCCTTCCTAAAATCAAGACATTTCGGAGCTCATCCAGTGTGTGTGTGTGTGTGTGTGTGTGTGTGTGTGTGTGTGTGTGAGTCACCTTCTCATAAGGAAGGAGAGGTTTCTTTGGATTCGCTTTGTAGAGGTGTCAATCCCTGGTCAGCAGGCTCCACAGCAGGTGTCCTGGCAGGATGGGGTGAAGGTCACAAGAAAGAGGGGAGGCCTCAGCCCCCATGCTCACTGCAGGGGACCTGGGTTGGTGCTGCTCCTCTGGGCCGCTTTGTCTCTCTGCATGGTCATCTTTTAAATTTAAGAGCTTTCATTAAATTTTAAAATTGCTTGGGCTTCCTCCTAATTCTTTTTAGTCCGTGCTTTTTTGAAACAAGTTCTCGCTAGGAGGGCCTGCCAAGTAGCTCAGGGGATTAAAGGGAGAAGCAGGGGTGGGAGATTCCATCCCAGCCTTCCCTGCCGGCCCGCCCCCAGGGCGAGCTGAAATGGCTATTAAACTAGGCATAGTGGTGCCTGTAATCCTGGCACTTGGGAGGCTGTAAACAGGAGGATCACTACAAGTCCCATCTATACAGTGAGACCCTGTACATCCTGTCCTAAATACAAAAAAAAAAAAAGTTCTTGCTAGGTAGTTCAGGCTGGCCTAGAGCTCACTAGGTAGCCCAAGGTGGCCTTCGAACTCATGTGAATCCTCCTATCTCAGCCTCCTGAGTCCTGGGACCATGAGTATCCACCACCAACCAACCTTAGAAGGTTTTCTTCATACTTCTAAGACTCCATCTAGTGGGGCTTCCAGTCCCCCCACACCCCATTCTCTGAGCACTTAGCTGACATCATTGTGTGACTCAGGGCTGGAGGGACTGGTTGTGAGTCTGGCACTGCCAGAGCCTTCACCACTGTACCCTGTGAGCACTGTGTGATTGTGCATGTTTGTGTGTGTGTGTGTGTGTGTGTCCCTGCGAGAGAGCTTTGTGAGGGTGTGTGTCATAGTTCCCTGCGGTTTGCCGGCCCTTCTGGTCTGCACAGGTAGCTTTGTGTACTGCCTTGTGAGGTTGTCCCAAATCATGGTCCATTCCTGGGTGACAGACTGGTTGCTCTGGGTATTTGACTCTCAGGAAAAGTTGTCTTGATCCTTTCCATAAGGGACCTTGTGTGGATACATAGTTTCATTTCTCCCGAGTAAGAACTTCAGAGAAATTACTGTTGTTTTGAGCTGTGAACATTTAATCAATTGCCAGATTTTTTTAAATTTTTAATTTTTTTGCCTTTCAAATGCTGGGGGGTGGGGAGAGCAGGAAAAACGAAAGGAATTCTGATGGGTTACATACATGCACCAAGTTCGCAGGATAAATATAATCATTATGTACCACAAATACTTGCTAATAAAAATACTACGAATTTGAAAAATTAAAAACTTGAACTCTTAAAATTAAAAAGGTAAGGTGTCCAGTAACAGCAACTTACAGCTAAAAAATTAATGTGAAAACATATTGCTTTAAAAGTAGAGTGAAGGGGCCCGGGAGATGGCTCAGTGGAATAAGCACTTCCCTGGCAAGCGCAAGGGCCTGAGTTCAATCCCCGGTTCTGCAAAATAAATAAATAAAAGTAGAGTGAAACTCGACTACATTTGAGATAGAAGCAGGTAGAGATTTTCAAATCCTTTTTTGTTTTTCGAGAAAAGCTCTCTATGTAGCCCAGGCTAGTCTTGAACTCAAAGTGATGCTCCTGCTTCTGCCGAACCAGTGCTGGGATTTAGGTCGGCGCCATCACGCCCAGATTTGAAATTCTTAACGCAGTGAGAAGAGTTTGCAGCCCTTGTTTTTGGGGAGCGGTGCCGCTGAAGAGGAGGTGAGGCTGTGCAAGGGTAGCGCTGAGACTGGGAGTTTCCGGAAGCAAACCCCAGCGGGCGGCCCCAGCCACACCCCGCAGGCCAGGTGAGCCGGGCAGCGTTAGCGCTTCCTCATCTAAAGTGTGTACAGAGTTCGCCAGCGCGTGCAGGAGGCTGGGGCCTCAGGACCTCATCCTGAGGGCTGAAAGCAAAGGAAACCACCCCAAAGAGCTGCCCAGGCCCCCTTCAGACTGCTCCGCGCACCCTTTGGGCTGGGCCTGGCTGCAGGCAGCGAGTGGAGCGCTGAGCCCCCGGGAGCAAATCCGCCCACACCTAGCGGGAGAGAAAGAAGTGAGATCAGGACGCGCAGGCGGAGGGAGGCCGTGGCCCGGCTGGTGGCGGGTGGCCGGTGGCAGGTGGCCGGGACGCTGCGGCTTAGGCTCCGAGGTGCTGAGGATGGGCGTGGGCCTCACCCAGGGCAGCCAAGTCCTCTACCTCTGAGCCCCCCAGCAGCCAGAGGACGCAGTTAAGGGTCCGTTGAATGCAGATCTGAAGAGGGGCAGAAAGGGAGACTTGTGTGGGAACCGCTAGGCCTGAGTCCAGAGCGCCTCCCCGCCGAGAACATTTTTGCTAGAATTCTAGGGATTCGAGGATCATAATAACGACATAATAATCTCTGGTATTTTGCTAATGTTTACTTAATATAAAATAATTTAATTACAGTATAGCATACCTTTCCTTTTGATACCTTTCAAGAAAGGAATTGAGATTTAATTTATGCTTTTTCTGGCTTGATACATTGAGCTATAGTGACTAAAATCCACAGAATGAAAATAAGCACATTAAACTGGAGTTGTGTTGTACCCAGGCTTCTACCAACACTCAATAAATTGCATTTCTTAGTGGATAATGAGAATTTGCCTAAGTGGCCCACACA